TTATTTATTTATTAACTATATTATATAATCTCTTTATTTTAATTAGATAAGATATATATTCTTATCTAGTCTTAGTTTAAACTACCTTTCTAACTACTTTATATTTCTTTATTTATAATACTATATATTAAAGTAATAATATAAGTTATTTAAGATAATTCTAATAAACTAATATAACTTATATTATTTTAAAATAGTATTATATATATTAGCTATATTATAATAGATTTTTTTAATATATAGTATAAAATCTAAATTCTTAATAAATATTTAATAAAAGTTACTATATTATAATATAGAATAAATATATAGGTATATAAAAATCTACCTTATAGCCTATTAGAATATATATTAGGCTTCTTATAAAGTATTCTATTAAGTTATTAGATTACTACTAGAAACTTAGTATAGGCTCTTTAGTAGTTATTTTTACGTAACAATAACATTTAACTTACTAACTAATTTTTAAAGAGTAATGCTACGTAGATGAACCTTTTTTACTATATAGACGAGCCTTACGTGATAGTACATGTAGAGCTGTTAAAGTTACATAGTTTCTAGTGCATCTCCTATATAAAGAGAGGTATCTTTTTAAAGACATGATGTATTTCGCTATTCTATGTATCCCTGCCACCTACCGCCGCCGCCGCCGCCGCCGCCGCCGCTACTAAATAAATATAATTAATCGGTTAGGTTAAATAGAGGCGTCGATAGCGGCGGCGACGAGGAATTAATGTTATGTGGCCTAGTTGTTATGTTGATAGTGGCAGAAATAGGTTATCGTGAGGTAATGGCGGTGTTATATTGAAGCTGATAGCGGAGATATAGTACCTGACATGGAGATACCTCTAAAATACCTTACTTAGTATAGAGAACGCGGGCTAGATTAAGTATCTTTAAGGTATATGTGGGTGCATATCACGTGAGGCTCGTCCACGTAGCAAAAAAGGGTCGTCCACGTAGCACTACTCTTTTTAAAAACCAGGGCTTTGTCAACGGCGCCCTTCGTTACAGGTTATAGGATTTTAGACTATATGTGATAAAGTGATGCACGCCCAGGTCCCACCGGGGATACAAGGCAACGAACTAGCCAACCAGCTCGCTAAGGAAGGCACAGAACTGGCAGTAGCATGTGGGTAGCCTACTCGCCATCGCGTTTCAGTGGTGGTACGGAAGACGCCCCTAGTAAAAATAAACAGTTGATTGGCGCGGCTGCTGCTAATGGTCGACACTAGGGCCATGAAGCAGGTGTGGAAACCAATAGTGAAAGCATGGGGGCGCCCCCGCGCACGCCCCGCGCACGCCCTGTCACGCTAATAGGAATAGCGGCACGATCATCCGTAGCACTTAGTTAGCTCCATAGAGAAACGGCTATGGATCTGCTGTAGAAACAGTGCGTGCTGGCATGCTAATCACGCAATAATGCTTAAACTCTTAATCGTCATGGGAAACAGCCCCCTAGAAGCGAATTGGCATTTCATTTGAGTGAAATGTTGTCAAGTTTCCTCCATTGCTAGTCCTCGCGCGATGCGGCCTCCGGCGCGCACTCCTTCATGGCCGGCATGAGTCGCCAATCCATCGACATCAGCGGCCGCTACCAGCAACAACAGAAGCAGCAGCAACTGGGTTTGTAGCTTTCCGGCAGCGCCGACAGCCAGGCGTCAACGGAAAACAAACAACCTCTGCTGGGAGTCTCATCGCTCGATTCACGTCCTCGGTCCCGCGGCCGTGAGGGAGGGCCGATATTATCAATCTCTATTCCTGCAATCCTGTAGGGAAAAGAGTCTCTAATAATCAAGCTGGCCCCAGTGGCCATCCATGTGTCTTGGTGAGGGCATCAGGCTACAACTAGACCGTGAGCTACGCGGCCGTGAGCCATTCTTTACTAGTTATATAATATATAAAAATAAAGCTTAATTAATACTCTATCTATTAATATATAGATGCTTATAGTAGTAGCTATACTAGTTAAGATAGAGGCGCTAAAAGATGCTGTGTTTTGGCGGGATGTAGTGCGAATCACGGGGTTGAGTGCTTTAGCATGAAAAAGCAATAATGCAAAAATCGGTCCTAATGGTGCACCGTAGATGACTTCTAAGGTTATTAGCTCTAGAAATACGACGACCCTGCATGATAAAGGTCTATTCTATAAGTTAGAGAGGACACTATTAGCCCACGTTATAGCACTAATAATTATAGAAATATTTCAGCGGTTCTTAATTCCCTATAGTAATAGCTAAAAAGAATCTATATATAGACAGACCTATATAATTTAATTAGTCATTTACCTACTAAATACATTATACTATACTAAGTCTTAGCGCTATAGTATATATTATTTATAAGGCTTTATTCTATTAGCACTTTCTACTATCTATTATATCTAGTAGATTATAATGCCTTTATAAATATATTACTTAACTTTATACTCTATATTAGTCTAGCGCTTAGTATAGCCTTATATAGTATTTTAATATACTATTTATATAATATATAAATATCTTAAATTATAAAAAGAAATTAAAATAGGGTTTTATAGGTTATAGAGTAAGGCGCCTTTTATAAACCCTTCTATAAGGCTTCTCTATATATAAGTCTTTATCTACCTACTAAGTAACTAGTTATTTCCTTTAACCTTAACTTAATAAGTCTTTAAGTTCTTATATTATCTTTACCTACTAATTCCCCTATATCTCTTATTTATTTTTAAATAGTATTTATATTTCTAAGATACTTATTAAATCTATAGTCCTTACTACTATACTAGTAGCTCTTAATATTATCTCTACCTCTATTATCTAGAGATAGGTCCTAAAAGATAAGAATATTAATAATTAAATTTAAGGAGAGGCTAAGATTAATAATAAGTGCTACCTACTAGGTACCTATAAGCTTAAGGGTAGTAAGATTATTCCCCCTTATCTTTCTAAGTAGGCTATTACTCTTAAGTATAAAAAGGTAATATATCTAGTAAGTAACCCTTTAGAAAAGGATTAAAGGGCTTATAGGGAGTGTCTAATAAGATATAGTAGCTCTTACTTTTATAATATATAAAGCTACTTATCCTATAAAAAGAGCTATAGCTACCTCTTAAAGGACTAGTTTAAGTAATACTTAAAGAGATAGGCTAATAGCTAGTAGACCTTTATTAAGGATAATATACCTAAAACTAATATATAAGATAGATATATCTAAGCTACTATTAGCGGTAGTAAGTACTAGTATAGTAATAAAATACTCTCTAGATAGGTATATTAGGATAAGCTCCCTAAGGGTCCTAATAAAACTAATAAGACTATACCTATTAAGTAGTACTATATAGACTACCCTAAGATATAAAATATTAGAAGCTTTAATCTAAATAGTAAGAAGTACCCTAAATCTATAACTATAGAGGTAGAGCTTAAAGAGTTTACCTTTAAGATTACTAGCTATCTAGGATACTACTTATCTACTAAGCTATAAAATAACACCCTTACTATTAAAGCTTATAGTAGATTTAATATATAAACTATAACTAAATATTATAAGATTAAGTCTATTTATAACTTTACCACCCCTAACGTCTTTACTATTATATCCGCGATTAGCCTTACTATCCCTCTTAAGGATTTAGTTACTACTATTCCTAAGAAGGAGGCATCTAACCTCCCTACTATTAAATATAATAGTGTTTATATAGCTTTATCCCTTAGTATTAAGGAGCTTAAGGTAGTAGTTATCTAAGGTTCTAAGAAGGTTAATAATATTATAGCTAAAGCTACTACCCCTACGCTAAATAAGTTAAAAGAGGATTAGTCTATTAGTGAAGAAGCTAAGATCATATTCCTTAAATAGGTTAACGTTTTATTTACTAGTATTAGTAAATATCCTACTCCTAGTAAGGTCAGCCCACCTGCCACTCCTAGTAAGGTTAGCCCGCCTGCCACTCCTAGTGAGGTCAGCCCGCCTGCCACTCCTAGCAAAGCCAGCTCGCCTAACTCGCCTGACACGGGCAAGAACTCGTGTAGAACTCGACGCCGTCTATGAAGGGTTCTAAATGTTGCCGGATGCCTGCTAACAAGGACTATAACTCCTATTTAACTTAAACTTTGCGTTTATTAGGTTACAGCGACGCAGTTACGCTAAGGGTGATGGTCGTCTAATTATAGGAGAAAACACGGCAAGCATAAGGACGCGCAAGGAATTAAAAAGTTTACATAAGCCATAGGTCTAGCTATTACCCTACTTACTAGTATCGCTATATAGTAAATATAGTACTTCTAGATATAATATTAAATAGGACTTATTAAGGACACTAGTTTTACTATACGCACCACCTCACCTACGTATTTACCCTAATGGTGGGATATTAGGCAAACTGCAGACCTGATATCTACAGTGGGATATTAGTACTCTAACTATAAGAGGGCTAAAACACAAGTAGCACACGCAACATAACCTGTAAAAATCAGGAATTCACGTGTCAGGCTTTCTAGGCTCGTTTTTTAGGCAAAATAACCACAAATCAGAATATATAAGTAAAGTGTTTATAAAAAAGAGAATAGACTAGCTATCCCTTTAGCTGTGGAAAAGGCGCAAGCAGGTCGCGGGATCCACAAGGGTGAGAGACAGAAAGGTACTAGATTTAGACTAACTACGGAGGTACTTGGGCTATATAAATACCTGGCAAGAAAGTCTTCCCCAGTACAGGCTTACTCCACAGGACTTTCACGATCGCTGGGAATACGCACTCAGTAGAAGTACCCTGAAATTTACCGCTACGTGATTGGACAGAGCCCCTGCAAAATACCAGCTTGCTCCTTCTCCACAGCCAAAGGGATACGCTGAGCCCCCATTAGAATTAATTAGGCGCTATTGCATTACAGGGTGGTGTGGATCTGGTGGGTGGCCAGCGCTTCGCAAGTTGGCCTCCAAAAGCGGCATCCTAACCTCTAAAAATGCGCTCGTGTCCGCCTGAACTCGAGGCACATTTGGTGAATCTGTACTTTATCCGTAAGATACTATTGCTACGGCTACAGGATATGTTTTTGTTGTGCCTATCGAGGCACTGAATTCTCATTGGCTGGGAGCCAGGAAAGCCCCCCTTTTGATTTGTATGATAGCTCTTGTGTGTGGCCTCCACACACACTGACTTGTAGGATAACAATCAAGCAACAACACGAATCAAGACCAATAACCTCACGATATTTATCGTTGATAAACCGACAGTTTTGAAGTATCCTGGGATCACTCGGGAAGATCTTGTATACATAACACATGAAGACTCTTTGAGATACTAAACAATTCACTCTGCGTCTCGAATTTCTTGATTGCATTTCAACTCAGAATGAAAAGCTCATTTCTTGTCCTTGCGTCCCCATCCAGACACTCGCCGTCTTTACCAGTTGCAAGGCACCTCATTCTCCGGGTGGACAATGATGCGCGACTTGACGAACCCGCAGCCGCCCAGGCTGTCCGCCTTCATCTTGTAGCACGTCTTGTGGCCCTTGTCCTTCCAGACGCGATGCGCGCGGTACTTGCCCGGGTCGACGCAAATGACCTGGTCGCGGCCGCACGCCTTGAAGTCGTAGCAGCCCCCCGGCACGGATCCCCCCAGGCTGCTGCCGACTTTTTTGCGCAGGCACTGCCCGCAGTCGTTGACGCGAATGTCCGAGTTGGACGAGAAGATGGTCAGCGGCGGGCAGCCCGGGCAGTCCGGGCTCGGGGGCACCGGAACGGCCGTAAAGGTGTAGACGAGGTCGAAGCGCGCGTTGTAGTCGGGGCAGCTGCCCTGCGAGCAGGGGCCCGAGAGGATGCCGACGTCGCCGCCCTTGGCGGCGGCGGCGGCGGAGGCTGGGTTCGGGGAGACGCGCTCGGTGACGGCGGTCTCGTTGCTGCTGTCTTGCTGCCAATTGGAAGGATCGCGGTAGGCGGACATGCTAATGCCGTCCCAGTTGACGGCGTCGTCGGCAATGGTGAGCCCGGTCCATTCGGTCGCCGCGGGCGCGGGAGCAGAGGCAACGGGTGTGGCCGTGGCGTACGCGGCCAGGGCTACGAGAAGAAGCGGACTGGCAATCATGATGAGGGAGGTTTGGTGTTGCAGTTAGTTAGAGAAAAGACAAAGAGGTCGAGGTTGAGGCTTTGTGGCTAGAGTCGTGGAGCTGACTCTGTTTCAATGCGGTGTCTGAGTTGAGGAAGTTTGGTCAAAGAAGAAGGGGAAAGACGAAGGCTTTATAGGAGAACTTGATTAGCCTCGTGAATAACCTATTCGCTCTTCTCCCTGTTACGTGCCTCAGCTGAGAGACAGGGCATCCCTTCGTCGTGCACCTATCCAGCCACAACGAGGCGGAAGAGTACAATGCTATTGCTCAGAACACGCTGACCAGAGTTATTCACGTCGGCAGTTGTGGCTTTGCCTCAGATTGATGATTTCAAACTCAGCTCGAGTAAATGAAATGTAAGACCTAGTACTGCAACAGGGCATCACCGGTTTCGATGCGAAGCTCAGCCTACAACCAAGTATGCCGCGTTTCTCACCCCGTGCCACTATTCTTGGCACGCTGAATACTGCCACTCGTTCAGTGTATGAAGCTGGGCTGTAGAATTCGGGTTTCCCTTCCCCTCGGGACCTCGCTGGGACCTATCGCCCGATGCTTGCCGTGGTACCCAACATCTGCCCGCTGGCCCATTTCAGAACTGTGAAGAAATAGGGCAGCAGTTAGCTCTGAAGAAGGGGAATCAGAGTAGTTACTTCCGGTATATAACGTCCTATCAAAGACTCACACATATCAATTCCAATGTCCCATGTGAGTTCCATGATTGAGGAGTGCCGTGGGATATTGCACGGAGGAGGAGGCGCTGGTACTGTAATCGGTCATTGCCCAAACAAAAGTCAAAAGATACTTGTTCTCACCATCATTACGCGCGCCATTTTTACACCGCCTGAGCGCTTCTCAAAAGTAGCTTGGCGCTGCAGGAGGATGGAGCTGGCAGAACAAGCCAGAGAGGGATAGGGATAAGCCGTCCGGGCGATGCGCTTTCGGGCAATGCGCCGGATATCTCTCAATCTGCCGCGAGACCCCCCTACCCCTGTTTTGATCTGCGTTAACGTAAACAGTCAACCAGTAACAATCTGCTCGTTGCCGCAAGCGGGAAGAAATTGCCCTCATCCGGTGGGCGGAGACTGCGCTCGACTCACAGGGGCGTGGTCAGCAGGAAGCAGTCAGCAGCGTGCACCGCTAATATACGTGGCGTGTCTCCGTCAGCCTGGGCAAGGGTATTTTGACTTGTTGGCTAAGTAATGGTCATAACATGTTGTTTGCCAACTCGCTTGATCGAGGTTATGCAATTAGTTTAGTCGACATATCTGTGTATGCAGAAAAAAGCTGCCGAGTATAAATGTTGTCTAGACTGGACCAAACGAACTTTTTAGCTCAGTGCTTCCAGCAAACCGAAGCCTCGCTCAACTCACTTTACAGATCTTTTTTTTTTCGCAAGAGTTATTGAAATTGCCCATGCCCCAAATCGGGGGCGAGGACCCGGCCAGGCTGGGGGACCTCCAAGATTAAAACAGTGGAATGGCCCGCCTCGCTGCCGAACCTAGACTGCATTCGGCAGATGATCAAGTCTATTTTGGGGGATGAAAAAAAGCCACCGTGAGGCAAGCTTTGCATTGTTTCCTAGAAAAGTCTAATCAGCATTGCCGAGTTCTTAAGGGAACCCTGGCGGCCATGTGGCTCGCTTGAGGAACCGTGAGAGGATCGGAGGGTTGCCTAATACGGGTGCGCTGAGAACAATGGCGTGTGAGATTAGTACGGTGGCTGACAGGTTCTCGACAATATGCGCTTTGCACATTTGAAAACAACAGGCTTCGGAGTGAGCCTATCCACTGGACGACTCAGCGAGCTGGCCGCTCGACCTGGCTGCACTGGGTATCACAATCGGGCCATCGAGGATAGCACCGACAACAGCTAGAGATAACAACGCTTCTGATTTTCTTTCCTCGCAAGAAATATCCAAGTTCCTATAAATGTACCCATATACCAACGCCGGTACTACTCCATCTCTTCATCGGCTCATGCCAGGCCCAGATCTTCGAAAAAGGCATCCGAATTGGGTTCCCTGCCCAGAAACTCCTTGAGCAGCTCCATCTCCGGCCGACTCCCACCTCGCTCGAGGACAATGTGGCGGTAGCGGCGGCCCTGCTCCGCGTTGAGCGGGTCGTCCTTGAAGGCAGAGTAGTACATGTCGGCCGAAAAGACCTCGGAGTACATGTAGCCATAATATCCAGCGTCGTAGCCGCCAATGTAGTGGCCAACATTGTTGAAGCCTTGGCCCCAGTGTCTACATTACTGGTCAGCGTGGGTCCTAAATGAACGGGTCTGAATCTACAAGTGCTACTCACACGCCGTATCCGGTGGACTCGGGTCCCTTGATGCCCGACACCTCTGCTCGACGCTCATTCCACACCTTGGTCAGATCCAAGGCACCAAGAGCCTCGTGGGATTCGGGCCCGTGAATCACCATATCATAGGTGCTGTATACAAGCTGACGCAGGTAAAATACGGATCTGTTGACATTCTTGGTCTTGATGAGGTTCGCGATGAGCTCGTCCGAGATGGGCTCCTTGGTGTCCCAGCGCGATGACAGCGTCTTGAGGACGCTGGGCACCCAGCACCAGTGCTCGAGCATCTGTGAGGGCGCCTCGACAAAGTCGCGCGAGACGTGCGTGCCGTGCGTGGCGGTGTAGCCCGTCTTGGAGACGAGGTTGTGGATGCCGTGGCCCAGCTCGTGGAACAGCGTCACCACGTCGCCGTGCTGCAGCAGCGCAGGCTTGTCCTTGTTCGGCTTGGGAAAGTTGCACACGAGCGCGGTGAATGGGTGGTGGCGTCCGTCGCTGTTGATGGTCGAGCCCGGGCCGATGCCAAAGTTGGCGTAGTGGCTGTACTTGTGGTCGCGCGGGTGCATGTCAAGGTAGAGGTAGCCCATAAAGGTAGAGTCGGCCTCCCAAACGGCGTACAGGTTGACGTCTTCGTGCCAGATGATGTCTTTGGCGTTGCCGGTCGGGCTCACCCTCGCGCGGGCCTCCTCATCGAGCTCCTCGAAGCGTAGGCCAAAGAGCTTCTGGAAGATGTTGAGCATGCCGTTAAAGGTGGGCCAGAGGGCAAAGTATTCCGAAATAGCCTGCTCGTCCACGCTATACTCTTTTTCTTTTTGGATGCGCTCGTAGTAATTGACGTCCCAGAGGTATAATTCACCGTCGTATTCAAGGCTGCGGGCTTCGAAATCGGCTTTCTTGTGCTTGAGAAGCTGAGCAACGTCATTCTTCAGACCGGCTCCGGCACGGACTTGCATGTCTGCTAGAAACGTGTTGACATTTTCCGAGGTTTTGGCCATCTTCTCTGATATTCTAAGCGAAGCGTGGTCCTTGTAGCCAACAAGTCTCGCAGCCTCGTCTCGCAAGAGAAGAATTTTTTGAAAGAGAGGAGTGTTGATGTTGAGCTGTTTTGCAATCAGCATGTCTTTGTGAAGGAAGAAGTAGGTCTGAGCATGAGAGAGCATGCCGACATACCTTGTTTTCCTTGGCAATCAAGTAGTCGCGACGGGTCTCTGGCCGAGCGGCATGCTCCATGAGCGGAACGCTAATATTAGGCTTGAATCCGACCTTTACTTTGCCCTCATTCTCGCCCGTGCCCTTTTCGAGCTCAGAGATGTTGAGCGCCGACTCCGGCACACCGGCAAGCTCCTCGGGGGTAAAGAAGATGCCGCCCGTTTCGCTGTTGGCATTGTTCCGGGCCTCAATCAACAAACGTGTGAGCTCCAGCTGAATCTCCTTGAAGCGATCCCGCTTCGGACCGGTTGGCAGCAAGAGACCGGCGTTGCTGTACCGCTTATGCTCCAGTTCCACAATGTGCCTGGCCTCGGGATCCAGACCCGCAGCGTCTCGGTTCTGGTAGATTGTGTTGACGCGCTGGAAGATATCCTCACGCATGCGTAGCTCGATGCTCAGCTCCGACATTTTTTGTTCCGCCTGGACCGAGGCTTCGCGGAGGGCGGCATCGGTGCTGACGTAGTGGTAGAAGCCAACCACACCGCCGATGGTATCACTCACATTGTCCTCGAGGAGGATAGGCTTAAGCGTGTTTTCGAACGTGGCATTCTCGACAGTCGTCTCGGCAACAACCTTATCAATGACAGCCTTGGCGCGCGCAACGAGGTCGTCGGTGACCTTGGTGATGGACTCGGGCGTGTGGTTGAACAGAGGGGGGGCCTGCGGGGGCGTATTCTGCGTCACGGCGGCCATGATTTGGGAGTGTTGAAAGTCTACTGTCAAGATACTGCAATCTTAACGACGGAGCAAAGAAGTGATTGGAAGCAGCCTCTTTATATGTTGGCAGCTGGCGTAAGTTTGCTGGCTGACGAGGTGGCCTTTTGATGTGCGGGGCAGATGAAGGCGGGGTGAAGAGTCGGATCGCGGGGCATGTTAGTGCACTCTATGAGGTACAACAATGGGCGGCACAGCTTGAGCCCTGAGTTAAATGGTTTGCGTTGAATATTCCGAGTACATTAAACTTTTTGATACCATCACGTATGATCTCATCTTCTGCCACAAAACTCTTGTTCTGCACTGTGAGCCGACAGATCTGGCGACTGAAAGTTACGATTAGCTCTGGTGGCTAGCCTAAGGCTGCAAGCTAGCTTTCGTGGCCGGTCGGGTACCTCACGCGACAATATCCCTTGGACCCTGATACATATGTGGCTCATATTCGGCAGGCTAAATTGATTGCCCTCCTTCCTATCTCGTAGAAAGTGGCGGGGGGGATGGCCAATGTATGAACGCATGATGTATACATACATATGCATTACTGGTACATTGCTTTGCCATGCGACCGTGGAACTCCACGTGTAAAATGGACATGATGAATCTGACCAATTTTTTCCGTGCTTTCTCTGAGGCTTCCATCAGGTACATGCGCCCAGGGGGGGGGGGGGGGGGGGGG